GGGTTGAATCCTGGATTAAAAACAAGCAAGCCAGGCCCTTACTGTGTAAGACCAATAAAAGGAGAGATGGGGCAAGAAAACACTTTCCTACAGTTTACAGTTAGCCAATGGAATTCCTGACTCAGAAGGTAACAAGTCACATACCATGGCCAGAAGAGATGGATAATTTCATAACTATTAATAACACTTGCAACTATGGTGGCCAGAAATAAGGATAATCATAATGCAGGCCCTTGGGTGTAAACTGATAAAATATAATGTCCAGAGGGAATCCCCATCCCACCAACATGTGGGACTTGGTGCATTTATAGCTCTGACTTTTTCAAGTGTTTGAATTATCAACAGCTCTGGTCATTGCTGGAGACATAATTCAGGACTAGATTTGAAACACTTGATTGAACCACTTGATTGGAATCTGGCAAATCTACCTGCAGTTCTCTGACATGAGCCATGGGTAAGAAGCATAATTACTACAGACTACAGAGAAGGAAGAAGCTTGTGCAGAACTGGATTGAGAACAGTGCTTAGAGACTAGTGTGTTATGATGCAAGAATGGACAAAACCCCAACCAAAGGATAGTCACAACTAGGAGTGTCACAGTGAGTTTGATCATGCTAGACAACACTCACATAATTACTTTTTTATTAAGGAAAAAATTCCGCAGACCCCTTTTTCTTCTCTGCATGGTATGATTTAACATTTTTATTACTAGACATGGGAGCACAAACATTGAAATTGAGAAACCCCTATTAAGGCTGCAAAGCCAAGCACTGAAATGTTAGGAAGTTCCAGAATTTAAGGTTGACTGTACAACTTTAATTTGCCCCTTTGTTCATATGCACAGACATAACTTACTTGAGAGGGAGAGAGAGAGAGAGAGCGTTGTGGCTGAAGCTGGAAGGTGCTCAGAGAATAAGACATGGGGGGACTGGAAGAAGTGAATGGGTGGCTAAGGCAGCTGAAGGCTGCTGTTGTGGACTGCAGTCTGTTTTGCCTCTGACACAAGATCCTTCTATGATGTCAGTCAAGTCACTTAAACCAAACCCTTAACATGTAGTCACTAACTACATTCTTCTTCTTTTGACTACCTAACTGGGGAGCCTGGGGCCTGAATTGCAGGAGTGCTAAATATTCACAGCTGAAGCTGAGGTCAGTAGTAGTTATGCTTTGAAAAAAATATATTGTTATGTAAGTACTTTGGCAAATCAGGTTTTGTCTGAAATTGGGCACTCAAAACCAGTGGACATGTTTCTGGTCTTAATCACTGTGACTCAGTTCCCCATTTGTAAAATGAAGAAAACCATAGCCTTTTATCTCACTGGGGAGCTGTGAAGATTAATGTTTTCAAAGCACTTGGATACAAAAAAAAGCCCACGAGGAAATTAATAATTCTGTCTTCAAAGGAGAGTTTGATTAGTACGCAGTAAGTAAAGTATGGGCCACCCATTAAACATCAAGGTAGAAAGAAGTATTAAACAGCTGCTCTGAGTGCAAACCATCTAATTTATGCACTAAACAAGGCAGGAAAAATATCTGTGATCATATAAATAAAGACTGTATCATAATACAAGTCACAAGAGGGATAATTAAAGTTGCAAAAGTAACCTTAATTCTGGTACATTCTCACCTCTGAACATTCAACTTTTCAGCTTTAATAATGTTCTTGTGTGTGTTTGTATGTTAAATTTCCTTGAATTTAAAAAAAACCTGAAAAAACCCTATTTATCATATAGTCTCATGATAATGGTTCATTAGTAGAATTAGGCCCTTTATTTTCATTGCACAGACCAGTCTCTTGAACTAATAAAATAACTCATAAATGACAGGTTCTCATTCTCTATGCACACTAGCCCTAGGACTCTTTGCCAGTAAGCTTCAGATACACCTGCTCAAAGGAAAGGATGGTAAGGATCAGGGATCCAATGCAGACCTGAAGGGAAGTATGCTGAAGTGGGCAGTCTTTTCTGCCCATCCCCACCCTACCCAAACTAAACTCCTCCAGCATTGTCTAATCTCAAACTGTTCCTGTTCAATTCCTATCCCTTTCCATGGCCCTGGAAGCAGGTCCTGACTCCCCATGCCAGACCTATTCTTTCTTTCTTTGTTTTTTTTAAATACGAAATTTTTTTGTGTTCCAAGCCAAATCAATTCCCAATCTGTGAGTCAGTCAAGAACCATAAAATCCCAGCTTCCATGGTTTAGGTTTATCATCCTGGCTCTAGCCTCCAGGCTCAACAAGTCCTAGGCTATTCCTAGTCCTATTCCCCAGTCCTATTCCCCAAGTCCTAGTCCTATTCCCCAGTAGGTTCCCCCTAGTCTTTTTGTCCATTCTTTCCAATACTCCCCTTTTGGCTCCTTCCCTAATATGTCTCTATCTTTGACTCTGGTGTGCAGTGACTACACCTACAGTTTCTCTTTCCCTCCCTGGGCTTCTTGTCCAGTGCTATTGTCCTTGCCCCTAATTACTTGACCCTGCCACTCCTCCTTTCTCAATGCCCTGACTCCTCCTCAGATCTCTCTTACCTCACCTTTCCTTCCCCGCCTCTTCTCCTCACCCAACTAGTTCTCAGGCACAGTCTTCCCAACAACATCAAGTCCCAGTTTCAGTCTTTCTGCATGCCCCCCTCCATCTCTTCCTACTGGCATTTTGTCCCAGCATGTGCCTTGTCCTTTCTGAACCATATCTGTGCTGCCTGGCACCATCAACAGTGAACCCCTTTGATATGGTCTGCCCACCACAACTGCCCCTTTGATATGGCCCTTCAGGAACAAAACTTTAAAACCCTCTGACCCTTGTACCACTGAAAGTCCCCATGCTATCCAGTTCACAAATGGAACAAACTGTTGATGGACACTGAGACTGAGGGAGAAATAGACTCCTTTTTTGTTGTCAGGTGAGGTATCCAGACCCAGACCTGGCAGGGCAGACAGCAACTGCAGCCTGCAATTACAAGGACAGTTTGCTCAGTCCTGGGCTAGAGTGTGCACTAGGCAGTTAGAAGCTCTGGGAAATTCAGCTACTCAAATTTCAGAAGTCTCTACTGAACATGTGAGAACTGTGATCATTCAAAGACTTGTAATTTGGCTAAATTTAGGTAGGTTTTCCCAAGAATAGAAAAAGGCATATCCATGACACAAAGGCCACTTGTGACCAAGTCCCTGCTCCAAAGCACAGGTTTTGTTGTTAGAAATGGCTGGACTGTTTTGTCTGAAATTAAAAAAAAAAAAAAAAAAAATCAGCCTGAGCCAGACACCCAGCCCCAGTTACATGCAACAGAAGTGTCTTACAAAGAGAAGGGTGGGGCAATCTTAATCCTCATGCTATACTATAATGCCAATTGTGCTGGGCATAAAAAAGGGCATTCCCTGACCAAAACACTTACTATCATTCTTGCCAATAGTACCAAAATATCTTTCACCAAATGGGGGGCCATATCAACTACTGTAGTTACAAGTAATTAATTACTAATGATTCAACTAATTCCTTTATCAAAAATAAGGAGAGCAGTGCTCTTCATACCCTTATCTCTTTTAGCTTGAGGCCTGATCTCAATATAAACAAGGAAAGATACAGATTTCTGTGCTTTCAAAGCCAAACCTTGCCTATGCATTGCAATCACAGATGAAGCTTCACAAAACAGAAACATATGGAACATTTTCAGTTGAAAACTTCTGAGATAGAAAATAATTTTAACAAAATAGGAGGCTTCCGGCAATGTGATGTCTATCTTTTTCAGATTGTTGTAAAGACAATCCTGCCCCCCACCACACCAAACACACACCTTGAAACTGTGCTGAAAACTGTTAATAGGAGGTTGTTGGGGTTATTTAAAAAAAAAAAAAAATCTGAAGGAAAAAAAGATACATTTAGATGGCATTGTATTTTTTCAAGATGCAAAAATAAAACAAAACACCTAACAAAATAAAATAATAACAGATTCTAAAGCAGCGGTTCCCAAAGCATGGCCTGTAAGCCAAGTATAGCCCATGAACCCCTTCGATATGGCCTGCCACCCACAACTCCCACTTTGACATGGCCCTTCAGGGACAAAAAACCTCTGACCCTTTCACCACCGAAAGCCCCCATGCTATCCAGTTCACAAGTGGAACAAATGGGGCAGGGCTGGGTGACCTTGGTCTTCAGTTGGTGTCATTTGTATATTAAGCAGAGATCTAGGACGTAGGATGGCAGGTGAGGTAAAAAGGATGTAACAAGTTGGAGGTATAATGGAGATGAGGCTCAGGAAGGTGCCTGTCTATACTATTCTGGCTGTACCCATGCTGCCAGTTCCATCCCTCTTTATCAAGAGGAAATAATTTCATTTTAATTGAGAGAGACAAAATCAGGCTCTGTAGGAGAAAGTATGATCCAGAAGCTTGTGGGGCAACATTTCTGTATGTGGAAACAAATTATCATTGTACTCCTTGTTTTACCACCTGCACACAAATCTCTCGCACATCAAGTCTAACACTCTATTTAACTCTAATCCTCTACCCTCCATAACAAAAGCAAAGGGAAGACAGACTAAGACAGAAATCTTAGTTAGGATGTGGGTTCAGGTAGGGTGGGGG